GGCCTTTTTAAAACCTCTCTGACCTCAGCAGCCCAGTCCAACCGAAGCTGCCAATACTGGCTACAAACCGACCAATCTGCATGGCATCCCTGGCTACCTGGGCCCGCGCACCGGGCCGGGTCTTCCCCCCCCTGCCCAGGTGACCAGAGCATCGCCTTTCAGGCGCCAGGCTTTTGTCTGCAGACAAGGAGCGAGATCCCCGCTGTGAGGGATTCAACGGCCACCTCTCAGGCTGGTGGAGACAGATCTCGGGAGAGGGGCACCGACAGTGGCATTTCTGCCACAAGGCCAACATGGGACCCAATCCTGTGACCTGGTCAGGCTCTGGTCCTGCCACGGTTTCCCTATGGGTTCCTGTGCCCCCCCTGTCCCAGCACTTCCAGGAGCTGCTGCACTAGCTGCCGCAGTAACAAATCTCCCGGCAGGGCTCCATGGCGGAGGCGGCTCCGGTGAATTATGGCCCTAGAGCAGCGGAGACGCCGGGGCTGCGGTGGGAATGAGTGGCGGTAAATCCTGCTCCACTGTGCACCTCATCCCCTTGGGCCAACTCCCCCAGCCCTGCTCTGTCCCCACACCCAGCACTGCCTTGGGCCCCAGCTCCCTGCACAGGACTTCTACCACCCCATATAGGTCGGGCAGGGCTGCCAGCCCCATTCCGCCTTTGGGAAAACTGAGGCACAGAGTGATGGGGGTGAATGCAGCCCTGATGGTGACTGGAGCATCCGGCCCTGGCCCATCCGCCTTCACTGTGTGCTGGAAACGTGCCACAGACGGTAGCACAGGGGGACACAAGTGTGGGCCTGCAGGTCCTGGAGCCCAGGCGGGAGGCACGTGGCCTCCGAGGCTGCACTCGTGCCCGGGGCAGCCCTGCACGCGTGCCCAGGGCAGCCCTGCACGCCTGCTCTCCCAGCTCGGCCGGAGCAAAGGTTAATGGGCTAATGGACCGACACACGCCCCCGCACCCTGACAGCTCCGTTCTGCTTGACAGGTCTCTGCCAAGCCAGGCGCGGCGGGGAGCCGGCAGCAACTGTCAGAGCGCGGCAGCGTGGGCAGCCTGCCCAGGCCGCACTGGATGGGCAGGGGTGGGCGTGAGAGCCCCTGGCTCTGGAGCATGATCCTCCTCTACTCTGCGCTAGGTGCTGCATGTGCACAGGGCACCAAGACAGGCCCATGGTCCAGGCAGCACTGCTCCCAGACCGTGCCTGGCATTGACCCCCTGTGCCACCGGTCCCTGGTGCCAAGAGGGCCACAGTGTGAGAGGCCTGCAGCAAGGGGTGGAGCTGCTGGGACCCCCAGATGGCCCCGAAACCCCGGCCTGGGGCTCAGCCCCATCCCTGCTGGGGGCTGTGGCACATCTCAGGGGGTTACAGAGCTTCTGAAGTCCGGTTTTCTCCTTCTCTGGGCAACCGTTGACCTCTCACATTGGTGCCAGGGCCAAGGCACGGGTGCCCTCTGCCCGCAGACAGGCACAGCCTTTGTGCTTGATCCAGCTGATCCCTGAGCACCTGGCAAGGGTGGAGAGACCCCTGGGCCCCTGAAACATCAGCCGTGACCCCCACTCTGCCCTCTCCTCGTGCCCCTGTGCCCTCCTGGCCAGGGGTTGTGCCCCATCACTGCACACCAGGGGGATCAGCCGCGGCCCAACTCTGCCCCAGATGTCTGCTGCCAGTTCATCAATCACAATATTAATGATAACGAGCACTGACAGCTCAAAGGTGGTGCACAGCCCTTCCCCTGCCAGCCCTGGCATGTGAGGGGGTCCAGGGCCACCTTGCCCCCACCAACACCCATAGCAGGGGCCGGGGAAGAGCTGCAGCTGTGTCTCTGGGGGATCCCTGTACAGCTTATTCCCTGGTCAAGGGTCTGACCCAGTCCTAGCAAAGTGGCGGCTCTCTTCTGCCCGTGCCTCAGTTTCCCCATGGGTGCACGGGATCCGGGTGCTGGTGCGGTCCTGGCCCCCTGGAAGCTGGCCAAGCCCCTTCCCCAGCCCAGCCCAGTCTGGGGGGTGCTGGACCCCCCTTGCACCAGCCAGCTCAGCCTTGTGGGGGAAGGCTGGGGGCACCATGCCCTGCAGGCCGGGCTGGCCTGTGCTGCGGGCTCCCATGCTCAGCGCCATGCGTGGCTGCCGTGCCGGCGTCCACCCGCCCACGGCCTTACATAAGCATTTATTAATAATCCCCGGGGGCTGCTGAACGCTGTGTGGAGCCGCCTTCAGCGTGGCCCCCCGCCGCCCTGGCTCCTTAAAGGGACCACACGAGCTGCGTGCCCACCCTGGGCGCAGACACGTGTCCGTCAGCCTCCACGTGGCCAGCATGTGACAGCTCGTGGGGCTACTGTTTGGGGTGCCCGGTTCTCCCCCGCCATCCCATGTCCCTGGGGCCCAGACACATCCTGGGACTCCCTTTCCCTGTGTCCCAGATGCTGCGAGGGGTGGTACTTTGGCATGTGACCCACCACTGTGTCAGGAAGCATCACCCTTGCCCCTCCCTGGGGTTTAGTGCCTAATTTGGGGATCTCCCTTCTGCCATGTCAGAGCCCCTGGGGGCCAAAAAGCCTCAGTCCCTTCTTCCGGGGCATCTCCGGGATGTGGTCTCTCATCCACATGATCGCTTCTAGCCTGCAATTCCTGCTCCCCCCATACTGCAGGGGCTGAAGCCTTGCGGCAACAGATCCAGCCACCTCCAGGCTGGTGCTCAGCTGAAGCGTCTGTCAGCTCCTGCTTCTCCCTTATCTTCATCCACAGCCGGTGGCTTGGCTTCCTCCCTGGCTTGACAGCTGGCCTTCCTGCGGGGCTTGGGCCTCCTCCTCGCCACCAGTGCCTTGCTGCCTTATGCCATCCGGGTCCCAAATGACCCCAGAAAGGCCCTCCGAGGGGTTTTGAAATGGCCAGTCGATGGCATGCGGCTGCATCTGGGGTGGAATACGGCAGCGGCAGCACAGAACAGGCCCTATACATTGGTCTCGTTAGGGAAGGGGGAAGCCAAGGCCTTTGGGACCCTACTAGCCAGGCCCTGATCACCTGTGAGCCCAGCCCCTGGCCCCCAGCCCCCTCCCCTGCCCTGAAGGATGGTCCTACACCCCCAAATGTTTTGGTCAGATCCATCCCACCTGCCCCTGCCCTCCTGGCCCAGCTGGCAGCCAGGGATGGGCGCTGGCTCCCTGCACAGCACAGGCCAAGCCGGGATGAGCTGCCAGTCTCCCCCTGTGATGCTCAGGACCCCACCCCCAACACCCTCCCTGCAGCCAGTAGCAAACAGGAGCATCAAGGTCCTTCCAGAGACCCCTGTCTGGAGAGCCAAGAGGCGGGTGCATGTTGACCAAGGAGCGTGCCCCCTTTCCAGCTCACAGGCACGACCCTGCTGCTCCTGGCACGTGTGACCTGCACTGTCGGGGCGCAAGGTGTGGGGTAGCCCCCTGGGCTTGTGAGCCACGACTGCACAAGCTGTTCTGCAGAGATGTGGCAGCATCCAGGTGCTGGGGCAATAACCCTACCCCATCCCCTGGGACAGGCCGGGCAGGAAGCACGGGCAGGGCTGGCCGTCTCCCAGGCCAGGGGTCCTGCCTCCTGGGGGGTATCAGTCAACCCCAGACGGGTCCCCGGCAGCAGTTTCCATTCCGAAGCTGGAATCAGTAGAGTCTGGGGGGAAGGGGAAGGGGAGGCATTGCACTGAGACAGAGCACTGCAGCTGGGAGCTGGGCATGGGGTACCGTGCTGCCCCCACCCCCGCACCTGGCACTGCATTATTCCCTACCCCCTCTGGGGATAGCAGTACCCCCCACCCCAGGATGCTCTTACCCCCTGCAACACCTAGCACGATGCTGCTCCTCC